CCTGCTCCCCATGGCTTGTTTGACCTGCTTTCTTCTAAAACCCAGGACCACGAGCCCAAGAATGGCACCACCCACAATGGGCTAGGCCCTCTCCCATCAATCGCTAATCAAGAAAATGCCTCATTTCCATATCTTATGGGGACATTTTTTTAACTGAGGTTCCTTCCCTTCAGATAACTCTAGCTTGTGTCAAATTGACGTAACACTGTCCAGCACAGGCATCAAGGTGAAGCCTCCATTGGATAACTATGTGCATACCAGTCTTGTTCAAAGACCCCTGTTACACTTCTTGTAACCAGAGGCTCCCACACCTAATCTCCTGCCCATCAGTCTTTCTGCCACTTAACCTGATAGCATTATCTTGCCAAAATCTAAATCTCTGTGTGTGAACTCTCTGCTTAAACACTGGCTCCCTCCTGTAGGAAGAAGGCACCTATGTGGTCTAGACATGAGACTTTCCAGATTTGATGCTGCTTCGTTTCTCCACGTCTCCACTAACACTTGCACACAGAGATGCTGGCTAATTCCCAGTTTCCCAGTGGGCAATACCCTCTGGAAATCTATGTGCTTCCCATGATTCCTTCCAACTGTAGTTACTTTTCTTGTATTTTTCCATGTCAAAAAAAAAAAAAATACTGTTTGTTCTTTATCCTCCTATGCCAGAATCACCCTTTCTTTGATGTCATTCTCAGATCTCATAAAGAAGCTACTACTTCTAGCAGTTCATGCTTTCATGTAGTATACATTACACAAAGCCATAAATACTAGAAAAAACAATGTTTTCCATTTCTAAGCTGAGTTCTTAGAAAGTGCAGTGCTCCAAAAAGTCATGTCTTTTTAATCGTCGGATCTTATGAGACTATGAAGTGTGTGACAACTTACAGATCCTTTTCAAATATTTTTAAGGAAGGAGGATTTTACTGGGACTCATGGTTTGCAGAAGTCACCTGTTGTGGTTGGAAGACGTGATGATAGGAGCATGAGATGGCTGCTCACACTGTATGCAGTCAGGAAGCAGAGCAAGATGCATGTTGGAGTTCCCACTTTATAAGTATTTCCTAAATGAACGGCTGAGGGTTAGTGAGTGAAGACAGCAGGTACTCTGTATAGTCCTGGGAGCTGAACTTTAATCGGGAGAAAGCAGGAGCTCATCATTCATTTGTTACTGTTCTTTCCTGCCATACTAGCAACACTTACACAAGAGCTTAAGTTTTCGACTGCCCCATCTACAAGGAAAGACGTAAGTTGAACAAATGAGATGTGTAAGTGAGCCACACCTTGTGACAAACAATAATACTGTCCCTTCACCTCCACAATATGACTTTGGACTACTGTTGTTTTACTAAAATTCATGAAAACTAGAGATCTTTCCCAAGTCCCACTGCTTTCCAAGCAAAACTGCACACATATAGAAATATTCAGTGTATCAAGGCCCTTGCTGTTCTGTTTCTAAGGTGACAAAATGTGGTAGAGCATTAAAATGCCAGTTCCACTGATAAGTTAGACTGCAAGCCACAGAGCCCACAATGTTGATACCCATCTGTCTGATTCTTGAACACACTTCAAGAGCTGTCCCTGTTGAGGGACTGGGGAGATGGCTCAACCTGTACATGAAGTGCTTGCTACATGAAGGCTTGAGATCCCCTGTACTGGTGTAAAACAGGTGGGCGTGGTGGTGGCACCTTTGTCACCAGCACTGGAAAGGCAGACACAGGAATCCCCAGGCTCACTGGCCACCATTCTGGACTCACAGGCCAGCTCCAGGTTGCACGTGGGAGCCTGTCTCAAAGGATAATGTGGAGAATGATCAAGGAAGACATTACTAGAGAGAGAGAGAGTCTCACACACCATCCACTGAATCAGTTTGAGATGGAAGCTAGCTAGCATGCCCATTCCTTCCTTGGCTGTAATGAGTGAAGAAAGTGAAGATTATCAGTTTAATTTAGCTTGATGCTTCCCATGATCTCTGGAGATAATGAGAAGCACATCGTTTTCCTTTTTATCTGATACTGTATTTTCTATGACTCCTAAGACTTAATGCCAATGAGTTTTACCTCATAAGATATATGCTTTACTCCAAAGTAAAAATTAATAATTATTATGTATCTTATGGTTCTTTTATTCATGAATTAATAAATAACAATAACAACAAAAGTGGTGATGAACAAACCAGAAGTTGACACTCATGGAATTTGCAACTTTTTCAACTTCTACTTCATGAGACATGATTTTGATTAAAAAAATTTATAGTCGTGGATTTCGATAAACATAAATAAATTTATTTTCTCATTTTTCACATAATGAACCTCTGAAATGAGTACAGTTTGAATTTCATTTTTATATCAAATTGTGAAGTATAATTTGATTTATGTAAAGAAAGCATAGCTATTGTTTTTCTTGCCTCTTTCTAGATTTTTACATTCCTTATTCATTCATTTCTTCAATAAACACTGCCACCTGTGAAGAATCTTAAATGGATGAGGTTTCTATCCTCAACTACCTTCTGAAATGCAGTTAACTTAGAAATGAGACGTTTCAGTGCAAGTGAGTGGTCCATGCAGAGCGATGACCTCAGTTGCCACTCCTAACCTCACAGATATGCTCAGTCAGTCACAGCCTGCATTCCTTCATGTTTATTCTAAACGTCCTTTCCATCCTGCCCCAGCACATAGACAGATGCAGGACTGCACCACTGGCTCTGTTCCCTGTCTCACCCACTGCTTCCCGTCTATTTCTGAGCCCTTGAAATTAAAAACGGGAGGCACTATCCGGATGACTTTGTGGATGTCAGGTGTTATCTCCTCACTTCCTCTGCAGTGAAAGAGATGGGAAGTGAGTCAGAGAGGAAAGCTTCTTCTCAAGATCACCTGCTCCTGGACCACTTTCACTCCAGAGGAAGCAAGCTGCAAGGAGGAGCTGTGATTCAGCAGCTGTTTCACCCAGGGCTCAGTATACCCCCGGGGGATAGATGGTCCCGGACAAAGCTCTGGGGAGCAGAGACATCATCAAGAGGAAGGCTCTGTGCACTATAAAGGCTCAGAATCGAGGCCATTGTAGAGTTGGGGTTCATTTCAGAGTAAGTCACAGCTGGACTTAGCCCTGAGACTGACCACACATGTAAGACGTGAGTTCATGTTTCTAAAGTTTTTTTATAATAAAAATCAAACTCAACTCATCAACTCTCGGTATTTATCATAAAGCTATCCCTGTTACTAAACAGTACTTCTATTAACTCTCTCATTACATTCTTCCTGAGGTCCAATTATTTATTCTCTGTTTTAGTTGTTTGTATTTTAATAGCATTTTTAAAAATGGTCTATTGGAGATAATGGTATGGTTGAAGAAAGAAAAACCCAACCACTTGCTCAAATAATTATGTGCAGGAAGGTTTTGTAAGTTACACTTAAGAATTAACAATAGAAAATCACCTACTTCTAAACTGAGGTTGTGACAAGCAGCAAGAGAGAGCCTGGAGCTCTGGGGTTCCACAGCCTTCATTTACAAAATCCCTGAGTCCTCATCTGCTGCATGGGAGCCAAGAAATTTGGTCTCTAATCTAAATAGGTATTCTCAGAATTGTAAGAGGTATGTGATATGAAGTAAGGCACCTACCATTAAATAGGTGGCTGTTTTAGTTGCTTTTCTATAGTTGTGGTAAGACACCACGACCAAGGAAACTTATAAAAGAAAACATTTATTTGGGTTCAAAGTTCTATTGAGTGAGAATCAAAACTTGTGAGGCAGGAAGCATGGCAGCAGGTAGGCAGACTTGACACCAGAGCAATAGCTGAGAGCTTACATGTGATCCACAAGTAGGAGGCAGAGAAAGAGAATACTAACCAGGAATGCTGTGGGCTTTTGAAACTTCAAAACTCACCCCCTTGCCCCCTCACACACCCAGTGACACAACACACCTCCTCCAACAAGGCTACACCTACCCCTAAATTCCCCTAACTAGAGATCAAGTATTCAAATATATGTGCCTATGGGGCCATTGTCATTCAAACCACCACAACGGTTGTAGGTTGTATTCGGTTATAGTATTTGGGTCATATGCTACTTAGTAACCTTTATGTTAATATAAACACCAGCACTAAAGTACCAAGCCTGGTTATGTCAACCAGGCTGAGTCAGAGGGGTCACTGAAAGCCTGAAGCTGAGACAAGTTTATCGCAAGCAACCAGACTTCTTATACCCTTATCAGAAACAGAATATAATGGTGGTTGCCAGGAAGAATACAATTGTAGTTGCCAGGGTATAATGATGCTTACAAGCCATACAGGGTACACAAAGTTAGTGTCTAAGACTGATTGTCCAACCAAACTTCTGTATGTTTTGCTGACTTCTAGGAAATGCAGAGATAAACAGGAATGCTGGTTACTTTACTGCCTGAGGGAGTGCCTAGGTTTCTCAGGAACTGAAAGGCAAACATTGAGTGCCTCAGGAGCCACAGACTCTAACCTGAAAAGCCTATGACACATGCCTCTCAAGGGGGCTAGACCAGGCCAACTCCGTGATTCCCCACATGTTAGGAAATAAAAACATTTATATCCCTTTCAACAACTATATAACATATAGGAAATATGTATGATAGTCTAAATGAATGATATATTTCATTTATAAATGTATAAAAGTATAAAGGATATTCCTTTGTGTGGTTTATATGTGTTAAGTGATCTGTGTGGAGGCCTTAAGTTGAGATCAAGTGTCTTGCTTCAGGAAGTCCCCTGTCTCCATTTCCCAAGTAATGGGAATAGAAGCAGCATCCAGGCCTGTCCTGTCTTCACTTAGGTTCTGAGGATCCAAATCCTGGTCTTACTATCTACAGGGCAAGAGACTTTTCTACTGAGCCATCTTCCCAGAACACTGTACTTTCAAATAAACAAGTTCAATAAATGATTTTTGTCAGTGACACAAGCACCTTTAATTTTTTTCCATAGAAATTGCTGTTTGCCTGCTTAGTGGAAGACTAACACATGTTGTCACAATTTCGTTCACAGAATGATTGAAGATAGTGGGAAAAGAGGAAATACCATGGCAGAGAGAAGACAGCTGTTTGCAGAGATGAGTGAGTATGGAACTTTTAAGGAACTCCCTTCTGTGTTCATTGAATGAATATTCATGGAAAAGCCAGAAATAACCATGTAGTGCTTAGCGCATCTGGGCTTCTCCAGAAAAATCAGAACCTTGCATAAACTATGCACTTGGCCATGTCAGCCTCTCATTAGGTGAGAATTAAATCAGTTGCTGATTTATTATAGTTTTCTTCTACACTCTTTCATAAGCTAAAAAAAAAGTCTCTGGGTCTGTGTATTTACACATAGGCAGACATACTTGACTTCAATACAGTCCACTAATATCCAAAGTCTGCACCCACCTGCCTGTACTATCAAATGGCTGCCATAGAATAAAACCAGAGAAACACATTTCTGAATGTCTTCACTGGAAAATGATATAATACATTCAAATACGAAATGGGGAGGCTGACCAAACTGGACTGTAAGGAAACACTGTAAGCTGTCATTTGGACATCTTTTGGAAGGCAGTCTGTCCCAAAAACCATTAAAAAAAAAAAAGCAAAGGCTAACAAAAGATAAAAGCAGTTGTGAATGACACACTTAGGGGGCCACAAGCACTGATGGTATTTTCTGGTGATTAGTCTGTGAACATGTATGATTGCTGTGTAGTTGGTACTCATGGTGTCTCCCTTATAGACCAGTTTGATTGTCCATTAAAAAAAAGAGAGAGAGAGAGGAAAAACATCCTTCTCAACTTAAATGTTATAGAGAAAACATTTTGGTTCTCTTCTTCTGTGAGTTTTAGTTGTTCAGAGTGCTCAGGAGTGACTTGTAAGCTCTGTCCCCTGGGAAGGAAAAGAAATTTATACTGAAAATGGGATATGGTTGGCAGGAATGGAGGTTGGGTAGTAAAAACAAAAGTTCCCTAATAATGAGAGGTGGGATCATTTTCCAGTCATCTGCTGGCACTTGTGTGGGGTTATAATTGATAGAGGAAAGAGTAAAAATTGATGTGGGAAGTCCCAGACATCTGCTGGCCTTTGCACTTACAGAACCTTTGTTTGTTTGTTTGTTTGTTTGTTTGTTTGTTTGTTTGTTTTTTGAGACAATGTTTCTCTATGTAGCTTAGGCTGTTCCGGGACTCACTCTGTAAACCAGGCTGGCCTCAAACTCACAGAGATCAACAGGCCCCTGCCTCTAGGCTTGCACCACCACGCCTAGCTTGCACTTGCAGATTCTTAAGTGTCTGTGAGAGCTTCAACTGAGACTTGCCACGATCCCCTGCTGTGATTGACACAAGTCTTTATTTCTGAAATGACTGGTCTCCCTGAAATTGTGGCTTTTTTGTAGGCATGCCTCTGGCTACAGTCTTCCAAGATCTTGGTTAGACCAGAGGAATAAATTTTAATAAACTACTATACTGTCGTTAATGATGTATTGCATCTTTCAAATTTTCAGAAGGAATAGATATTTTATATTATCCCCACCAATAAATAAATAAATTGTGGAATGTTAGTTAGCTAGAGTAAATCTTTCTACATGGATCATAACAGTATAGCATGTACCACAAATACACTGAATTATTTTTAATTCAAAACAAAATCTTTAGCCATGCAGTGGTGGCGCACACCTTTAATCCCAGCACTCAGGAGGCAGAGGCAAGTGGATCTCTGTGAGTTTGAGACCAGCCTGGTCTACAGGAGCTAGTTCCAGCACAGCCTCCAAAGTCACAGAGAAACCCTGTCTCAAAAAAAAAAAAAAAAAAAAAGTCTTTAAAGGAAAATATCAATTTGCATAATTAAAATACAAGGGGAAAAGAGCAATGCATTTGGTGACGAAAGCTTGTCTTACCATCTAGGCAAACTCCATCATGGCAAATGTCTTGCCAGACATAATATGATTATTAATATTTTCTATAAAAAAGAAAACCTCGGAGCCCACCAATACAAATGTACACAGCTGTATACTACAAACGCAAGCGCAACTCACAAGACGGATTCAGACAGACAGGCAAGACGAGACCAGACAAGACAAAACAGCGGATCCGCACAACACTTACCTCCCAAACGTGGGTCGGTGGTCTTTCAGAACTATAGATCAGAAAAATGCCATTACATAAATATTAACCTTAATTTCGATCAAGTATTAACAAAGGCTCTTTGGCTGTGCATATGTTGTCCAAATGTGAACTGGGCCACATTAAAGTAGACTTACAGGTAGTGTCATGATCATATAGAGCAGCAACTAAAGGTTCAGTCAACCTTGGAGGAAGGTTGACCTCCAGGAACACAAGGACTCCATTTGTGACTCTGTTTGGGTCATTGGTTTTAATCAATGCCTTGGACAAAGACATAGAGAACACTCATAGGCATTCAACAAAAGCCCACACAAGTAAAATTAAATTAAGTTGATAATGTATTAAGTCAGAGAAAGCTAAATATATTCTTCAGAGGTTTAAAAATAAAACCTTTATGCAGCATGCCACAGTGTCTGTTCTCCAAATCCAACATGGTTCCATTAGCACCATCCCCATTGTCTGTGTGAAGCAGCATGCGATTGTATCTGCAAAGCTAGGTTTCGTTGCTTGTTTATCAAAAGCCCTTTAGCTGAGTCTTTACATCATCAATCAAGAAGAATGTACACAGATAGGAACCATTTAAAGACCGCTAAGTCCCTTTATCTTGTTCTTCAGCATCAGTTAGGCCTACATAATAGTGACAAGAAGAAAGCCATAGATGATTCCATGTCCCCACACATCATCTTTGTCTCCTTCTTTACCACATCCTGTAGAAATGTACATTTGCAAAAATGCCCTGGGACCTCTGCATGGGAGACAGGCACAGAAGTACAAAGGTTACAATTCTCAGACCCTGTCTAAGGTCTTGCTGAAATTAAGGAACATCATTATGTGTTAGATCCCGATCTTGGTGTACAAACTGGTATTTAACTCATTGCTCTGTTTTGTTTGTTTGTTGTTGCCATTTTGATACAGGGTCTTTTGTAGGCCACCCCAGGCTGACCTCAAAATTTCTGTGTAGCTCAGAATGACCTTGACCTTCTAACGTTCTTCCTGCAACCAACTCCAGAGAGTTGAACTCCAATGTGGGGGGGGGGGGGGGGGGTGGCGGCAATAGGTATCAAAGCCAAGGCTTGTGCATGCTACGAAAGTACTCTTCCAATTGAGTCTACGTCTCCATCTCTGCTCTTGTTTGTTTGTTTATTTGTTTGTTTGTTTGTTTGTTTTGATACAGGCTCTGTTGTCCAGTATAGCCTTAAACAAGTTCCTCCCACTTAAGCCTCATTAGTGATAAGATGACAGGTAGATACAATCATGACCAGCTTTAATGTATTGTTCTTGAAGAACATATTCAAATAAAATACACCTCCTAATTTTTTTCTTTGAAAGCATAATTTACAGATATGGAGACTCTTTACTGCTACGCCAAGCTAGACACCAGTAAAATTTCATGCAGTACAAAGGCAAATTCAGCACACAGGTGTGTCTTAATACTCTGCCATTGCCATCCTAGGTAGCTTGTTTCCTACAAGGCCCTATCAGATTGACCAAATACTTTAACCTGAGAAGGATTTTTGACATGCCTGCAGAAAATGATAAATCTTTTAAAAAGATATACAGGTTAATTAGAACAGGAAATTAAAATAAAGAACAATCTAAATAAATACAAAATTTTATCCTGCAAAGCTAGAAAAGAGAAACAAATTTTTATATATGCAGAGATCCATAACCAAGTACTGGGCTGAGCTCCAGGAATCCTGTTGAAGAGAGGGAGGATAGATTGTAGGAGCCAGAGGGGCTCAAGGTCATTACAAGGGAACCCACAGAAACAACTGTGACTCATAGGAGCTCACAGACCAATAACTAGGGACCCTGTATGGGACAGACCTAGGCCCTCTGAATATGTGTGACAGTTGTGTAGCTTAGTCTTCTTGTGGGATTCCTAGCAGTGGGATCAGGGCCTGTCCCTAACACTTGGGCTGGCTTTGGAAACCTGTTCCTCATGCTGGGTTGCCTCACCCAGCCTCAATGCAAAGGGAGGAGCTTAGTCCTATCTCAACTTGATATGCCATGCTTTGTTGACATCCATGGGAGGCCTGCTCCTTTCTGAACAGAAAGAGAGAAGGCATAGATGAGGGGGTGGCAGGGAAGAGGTTGGTGGGGATTGGAGGAGAGGAAGAAGGGTCTGTATGTAAAAGTAAATGAAAAATATAATTAATAAAAAGGAAAAAAACACATAAGATTTTTTTAACCAGCCTTGAATTAACTGAAAGTTTACTAAGAATGAACCACCTATTAAAATATTTACTGTGTTCATAGTTGTTCCCATCCAAGATGACATCATTGTTCTTTATGTGTTCAATAATTGGAAGGCAGTCACTATGACATTTAACTTTTGTTCATCTCATTTTAAGGAAATACTAGATATCCACAGGACAGAGTGACTACAATGCTTATGGACCTCAAGACCATGTCTATATAACAATAGTGGCAACTCCATGTATGCATGCCCTTTGTGTGCAGCACTGTATGATGAACACTGTGAATGCCTGGCATGACCAAAGCTGAACATCTTCAAACTAACATCTGTCAAGCTAAAGCTAAACATTAAAGTTCACAGTGACAAAGACTCTTGTCTATAATTACAATGCTTATGATAATGACAGCGGCCACCCAATATTGAGAAATGAATTGTCAATTATCAAGTAGAAACATTTCTGCAGTTCCACATGTGACAACTGGACTAAGGGGGGGCTGAAGTGACAGGAGATAGAGGAAAACTAAAATGTAAGGCAATAATTTCTGTTGTCCATTGCTGTTCAGAACTAGTACAAGAAGCATTTTAAGAAAACATTTGCTTTCATTGTTCACTATCTACCTAGAACAG